CACATTTTTGGCTTTTTAGCTGGTGTAACTTTAACTTTTTGCCACTTAAATAGCCAATGTTTGTCCCAATAAAAAAGCAAAATGGTGTTAACAAATCAGACCACATAAAGTCTTATAAAACATGTTATCTTTTGCCTTGTGAGACGATATTTTACCTTTTGGGCTGACAGCTGTTTAGCTGAGCAAGGTTGGTGCTCTCATTTTCACTTTTGTGTCTGCAAAAGACAACATTAGATACCTCGACAACAATATTGGTATGTTGGGTTGTTTCTGCACTACAACATAAGTTGACGTACTGCTTGCTTTTCTTTGGCTCTGATATTTTACAGTATGTTGTCTGCTCTATTACACTGGTATGATTCAGAATAGGGCTGGGCGATATGGCTGAAAAATATATCACAATAAGTAATTCATATTGGTTGATAACGATATATATTGATTGTTTTTTTTAAACCTAAATAAATACATTTGTTGTGTCGGCTAACACACATTAACAGCCCTGTTTACAGTCACGGGGAATGAGGCTAGAGGAGTATGTTCACAAGCACTGTGTCCCCCATTGTTAATCCTGGTTTAGTCCTGGTTTAGCTCCTGTTTTAGTTGTTTTCGAGTGTATTGTTTCCCCGTGACGGCTCTGTGCGGCTCTCTGATAGCCGCATGTGCTTCCAGAGGAAAAAGTTCATTTTCGCCGAATGCTTTGGGTCTCTGTGTCCACTGCCTCTCCCGCCGCACATGCACAGGCTGTGATAGGTCGAGAAGCCTTTGCCTACATCCCCCAGAATGCCATGCGCTTCTGACTCGGCTTTATTACCTGTGTTTTCTTCCCGTTATTTCTAACGGAGTGAAATTGAACAATCGAACATTCTATTGACACCGTTTTCTATTGATATGGAATATGTGTCTATCGCGATATATATCGTTATTGTTTTATCACCCAGCCCTAATTCAGAAATAAACTTCCAGATTTTTTAAAATTGCTCTCAACAAACACCTTTAAACCTCTTGTTTGTATTGCAAAGCCACCATCCTTCAGAGCAAACCCTTATTGAAACATCTTCAAAAACAAAAGGCTGTCTTCCTTCTCTGTACTTGTGTTGCCACGGCAACCCCAACGGTGACGAGACAAAAGCTCAAATGTCAGCCTCCACCGCGAGTTGTCGATCACGGCAAACAATCCGGACATGAGACGCCTCAAAACGTGCTTCAGAAATAAGAACAACTTTTATAGGAATCCACAGAAAAAAAATTATGACAGTAGCTGCAGAGATAGTTTTTAATTTGATCTGGTCCTGGTTCAGACCTGGTTTATGAGATTGGACTTAATGATTTCTCACAATAAATATATATAGAAACAGAAATATCAATATGCAACACTTTATTTTTATATTTTCTCTAAGTGCACATTTTTCAAATTTAACATTTTTAAATGATCACTTCTAAGACTGTCTTGTGAAATCACAATATCCCATTTTAACTAGCTAGCCATATAATAATATATATATATTATTATTATATAATCTCAGGAATTACTTTGCACCATGTTTACACAAAAAATAACTCATGTAAAATACAAAAGTCAACTCTCAAATGTTTAAATCATGTCACACTAGATGGCGATCTCACAAGAGTTAAGAAACCAAAATGATCTCATTTACGCTGCTACTTTCTCCTGTTCAGAACAAAAACAATAGCGAAGCAAACTGTTTGAGCTTATTACATGTGTTTCTACTGTAGGTTTATGTGATAGTTCTAAACTCAACTCTGTTTCAACTCATTTAACTGTGATGTTGTGAATAAAGACACAGTTCTTGTTGGAAACATAGTTATTATTAAATCTTATTCAGCACAAACAGAAAAACAATAAGTGGTAAATATGCAGGAGGAATGCAACAGACGAGATGAGCTATGAGTGCAGATTCAAACAAAGACAGGAACAGTGCAAAATAAACGACTGCACAGTTTATAAGTTATATATATATGTTAGATGCAACAGAACTCTAGTCCACAGTCTCCGCGTATATCAGGCTCTGTCATGAGCCCAAACTGCTTTTCCTTCGGTTCCTTCAAAGTGCGAAGCAGTCTGCTCCGAAGTGCCTCGTCCATGCTCCTACAGCTATTCCATGCTTCCCAGAAAGTAATAACACACGGACCAATCACAGCAGAGCTTGTCTGCGGCGGCGGGCGCGTAGTAAATGGTCGAGCGTGCGTGGCAGGCTACGTAATAGAACATTTCGAGTGGTGCGCGGCAGGCTACGTAAGGGTCTTGCGGTGATCCACGCGTTACGCAAGTGACGTCACGTCACCACTGTAAGATATGCGCCGCGTGGCTATACACAAGGCTTGAGTGCTTCTATTTGAGCTATTTTTAGAACAGGCTAGCGGGCGACTCATCTGGTCCTGGCACGCGTTGGTGACCCCTGTTCTAAAACATGAAATGGCACACTTAAAATAGATAATGAAAAATCTGAGGCACTCTTGACATTTAAATAGGAATCCTTTAATGTACAAGGATTCTACTAGTTTTTTCCATGTAGGCCTTCTATCACGGCATGCGTTAAAGACATGGAACTACAATAATATCTGGATAGGATTATACTAGCTGATAGCTGTCTCACCAATGGGCACAGGGGGCGCCTGAGGTAGAGAGGACTAAATTCACTTGGGCTACCAGAGAAAAAATGTCAAACACTGAGACTTCGCTCATTCTCAGGACGCACTCCAAAGCCAAGCAACGAGGCGGACTTTGAGTCGTGGCGTTCTCAGATTGAACTTTTACTTGCAGACCCGAGTCTATCAGCCCTGCATGTTACCAGACGAATGATGGAGAGCCTGCTGGCCCCGGCTGCTGACGTTGTCAAAGGTTTTGGTCCAGAGACTCTGCCCATTGTTCTGCTGCGTGTTCTGGACTCTGCTTTTGCCACAGTGCAAGATGGTGAAGAGCTGTATGCGCAGTACCTAAACATCCTGCAAGATCCAGGAGAAAGGCCATCTTTGTACCTTCAGCGGCTGCAGCTCATGCTGAACACTGTCGTGAAGAGGAGAGGAGTGAATGCTGTGGACATTAACAAACATCTTGTCAAGCAGTTTGTACGCGGATGCTGGGACAATACAGTAATAAATAAACTTCAACTCGAACAGAAAAAGGACAATCCTCCTTCGTTTCCAGAACTTTTATTACTGTTACGGACCGAAGAAGACAGACAGCAAACCAAAGAGTTGCTAATGAAAAGATACAGCGGAACCAGTTCTTCAAAACAAAAGGCCCACATTCACTTTCAAAATACCTGTTCATGTGGCAATGGTTCTGATCCGAATGACTTAAAAGATCTCAAAAGACAAATGCAGCAACTCCAACGCCAGATGTCTGCCCTTCTTGGAAAAAACAGTCCATCCATTTCCCAGCCAGCACCACGTCAACCCAGCCGTCCACACACACAGTCAGCAGTTAAACCAAAGCCATGGTACTGCTTCAACTGCGGCGAAGACAATCACATTTCATCTTCCTGCACCAATGCTGCCAATACCAGTCTGGTCGAACAGAAGAAAAAGCTGTTAAGGCAGAAACAACAAGCATGGACAATAAAGAACTCTTTAAACTAGACTCAGCTTCTGTGGAGGGGCACACAGAAGCTACTGCCAGATCAACCAGTCCCAAGAAATGTTTTCACAGAACAATGTCACTGCCAAAAGGTCTCGTGGGGTTGAAGAGCACTGGTCAAATCCAGATCAAAGACAATCAGTTCAGCTGTCTCCTGGATACCGGCTCTCAAGTCACAACCATCCCCCACTCCTTCTACAACAGTTACCTCTCAGATCACAAGATAAAACCATTGAAAGACCTGCTCGAACTCGAAGGTGCAAATGGACAATCAGTACCGTATCTCGGATACATTGAACTGACCATAACATTTCCACCTGATTTCCTCGGCACAATCATCGACGTTGACACTCTGGCTCTTGTGGTCCCTGATATAAAGCATTCCCATCCTCAGATCCTTGTTGGCACAAACACTCTTGATGTTGCCTACAACAAGCATGCTGAAATGAACTCTGATCAGTCCTTCCAGCCGAGTGTCTTTGGATACCAAGCAGTCTTCAAGATTCTGCAGACCCGCCACTCAAACTCAGACAATGCCTCAGTCCCCCTGCAGTCTATACAGCCACATTCAATCGGCGCTGGCAAAACCATTGTCCTCGAGGGATTCATAGCCAACCGGTTACTGCAAGGCGAGAGGGCTGTTGTCATTGATCACCCTATAGTCAGTTCACTTCCTGGTGGCCTGATTGTGAAATCCTGCTTGGCTGACCTGCCTCCACAACGGCCATGCCATCTGCCAGTTGTGGTCACAAATGAGTCATCCCATGCAATAACCATCCCAGCAAAGGCAGTCATTGCAGAAATAAGTGCTTTCCAGACCATCTATTGCAAAGAGCAAAGCACCTACCACAGAGAACCATCGAAAGAACCCCCATCACAGCTACAGTACGACTTTGGTAACTCACCACTCCCAGCTCAGTGGAAACAACGAATCATACAGCGGTTAAACGACATTCCTGAAGTGTTTGCCCATCATGAACTGGATTTCGGTCGAACAGACAAAATAAAACATCAAATCAAACTGTCTGATCCCAGTCCTTTTAAACAACGGCCCAGACCGATTCACCCCCAGGATGTCGACGCAGTAAGACAACACCTGCGAGAGCTGCTTCAATCTGAAGTGATCCGAGAGTCCGAGTCGCCCTTTGCTTCTCCAATTGTGGTGGTTCGAAAAAAGAATGGGAGTGTGCAGCTATGCATTGACTATCGCAAGCTAAACCTGCAAACAATCAAAGATGCATACGCCCTGCCCAAGCTGGAAGACACGTTCTCAGCGTTATCTGGATCCAAATGGTTCTCTGTGCTCGATCTGAAGTCTGGCTATTATCAAATTGAAATGAACGAAGCCGATAAAGAGAAAACCGCTTTTGTGTGCCCGTTAGGATTCTACGAATTCAACAGAATGACCCAGGGAGTCACCAACGCACCAAGTACCTTCCAAAGGCTCATGGAGAAATGTATGGGAGAACTGAACTTGAAAGAGGTCCTTGTTTTTATCGATGATCTGATCGTCTTTGCGCCCACTCTTGAGGAGCACGAAGAACGGCTGATGAAAGTCTTGAACAGGCTGAAGGAATACGGACTGAAACTCTCGGTCGAGAAATGTATGTTCTTCCAGACCTCTGTAAAGTATCTCGGCCACGTCGTATCTCAAGAGGGTGTGCAGACCGACCCCGATAAAATAAAAACACTTACCACATGGCCAGTCCCAACCAACTTGAAGGAATTGCGATCCTTCCTTGGGTTTTCCGGGTATTACCGTCGCTTCATTGAAGGATACTCGGCCATCACAAAACCACTGCATGATCTCACCGCTGGTTATCCTCCGGCCCAGAAGAGGTTTGCTGGAAAGGTTAAGCAAGCTACTTACCTCAACCCCAAAGAACTCTTTGGTGACCGCTGGTCGGATGAATGCCAGAATGCATTTGAAACAATCATTGAGAAACTTACCTCCGCTCCTGTCCTTGCGTTCGCCAATCCACAACAACCGTACATTCTCCACACCGACGCAAGTGCAACTGGCGTTGGTGCTATACTCTACCAGGATCATGATGGTAGAAAGAGGGTTGTGGCTTACGCCAGTAGAAGTCTTTCCCGGAGCGAGACGAAGTATCCAGCTCACAAGCTCGAGTTCCTTGCACTCAAGTGGGCTGTCACGGAAAAATTAACCGACTATCTCTATGGTGTCCCATTCACCATAGTCACAGACAGCAACCCGCTGACATACCTCCTGACATCAGCAAAACTGGATGCTACCAGTTACCGGTGGCTATCAGCCTTGTCGACGTTCGACTTCAAAATAGTCTACCGAGCGGGTAAGCAGAACGCCGATGCTGATGGGCTGTCTCGTCGGCCACATGGGGAGCTGTCTGACGACTTGATGTCTCGCAAAGAGCGCGAGCGAGTGTTGAGATTTGCTCAGCAACATCTTGACGATCCGGAGTATGTCTCCATTGACCAGCAGACAGTTAGGGCCATTTCTGACCGCCATGATATGTACTGCTCTGACAACGATCCCATGCATGCCCTCATCTTGTCCCTGTCTGTACACTCAGATAGTGTCCCTGACAGTTTCATGGACGACACACAGTTCACCCATACTCCCTCGACTCTCAGCCGCTCACCTTGCCACCAAGCAGCGGGCTGATCCCACGATCCAGCATGTGATTGCACAGCTCGAGCGTGGAGAGTCGCCGCCACCAATGCTGAGAGAGCAACTGCCCGACCTGCCCTTACTCCTGAGAGAAGCAAACAAGTTGGAGCTCCATAACAACCTTCTCTTCAGAAGAAGACAAGTCGGAGGTGATCACACTTTCCAATTGGTGTTGCCTGAGGGGTATAGAACTGAAGTGTTGCATCAACTCCATGACAAGATGGGCCATATGGGCATAGAGAGAACATTGGATCTGGTCAGGTCCCGGTTCTACTGGCCTAAAATGTCTGTAGATGTGGTCAACAAGATCAAGACCTGCGAGAGGTGCGTCAGGCGCAAGTCCCTCCCTGAACATGCAGCACCACTCGTCAACATCCAGACATCCCATCCCCTAGAGCTGGTCTGCATGGACTTCTTGTCTGTGGAACCAGATGGGAGGATCAAAGACATTCTTGTAATGACAGATCACTTTACGAAATATGCCGTCGCTGTTCCTACCCCCAACCAAAAAGCTAAGACCGTTGCCAAGTGTTTATGGGACCATTTTCTTGTGCATTACGGCATACCAGAGAAGTTACACAGTGACCAGGGCACAGATTTCGAATCGCGCACTATTAAAGAACTGTGTACTGTGGCTGGCATCCACAAAGTACGAACGACACCCTATCACCCAAGAGGGAACCCAGTGGAGCGGTTCAACAGGACGCTGTTGAATATGCTCGGCACACTGGGTGAACAAGAGAAGAAACATTGGAAAGATCACGTCAAACCTCTCGTGCATGCGTACAACTGCACCAGAAACGACGCTACCGGATTCTCACCATATGAGCTTATGTTTGGCCGCCAACCAAGACTCCCTGTTGACCTGGCGTTTGGATAGCCGCTGGATGAAGACAAGCCAAATTCTCATCTGCAATATGTCCAAAGGTTGAAGTCTCAGCTCGAGTACAGTTACAGATTGGCCAGTGAGAACTCCAAAAAACTGATGGACCGAAATAAAATTCGATTTGACAGACATGTGACCACTTCTGAGTTGAACATTGGAGACAGAGTTCTAGTGCGGAATGTACGGCTGAGAGGAAAGCACAAACTTGCAGATAAGTGGGAACCCGACGTATACATCGTGGTGAAAAGAGCCGGCAATCTTCCCGTGTATACTGTAAGACCTGAGGGTAAAGCCAAACCACTTCGAACTCTCCACAGAGATCTTCTCCTGCCATGTGGGTACTTACCTTCCCATGTTGGAAACTCTCCTGTGAAGAGTAGATCTCCTGTGCTGCCTCCGCCTGTTGCTACTCCACTAGTGCCTGACGATGATGAATCAGAGCCTGAACTGTTATCCTCTGCTCCTGAACCTGAAATATTCACTACGGTGTATGACATACCCGTTGCCCAGCCATCTGTCCCCGTTGCCAAGTCGCCTGTCTCATCTACGATCCCTGCTCCATTCCAAACCTGCGTCCCTGAAATCCCTCATGGACCAGGCAGACGAGTCTGTGGAGGATAGTGGTGAACCAGTAGATGACGTGATGGCTGCAGGCACTGAAGATGACACCCCATCCGACTTCGAAGAAAGTGATGATGCTGACGACTCACCGGTAGAAGAGAGCACTTCTTCTGCAAGTCCGGAGCCTGTCGGTGTCCATCCAGAAATTGACTCACCCGTTGTCTCTGAGCCATCAAGTTCTGAAACTGAAGAGGTCATCCGGCATTCAAGCCGTACTCGGAAACCACCGGAGCGATTACAATACTCACAACTGGGCAATCCTCTGCTGAAGAGTATACAGACCCTGCTCCATGGCTTGAGCTCAGCCTTCACCCTAGCCGTTCAAGCAGATGACGACCCTTTGTTACCTTTGTACCCCAGTCAGCCTATTGTTCGTCACCAGCCTGGGCCATGTCCGAGGACGGACATGGAGTCAGGGGGGGAAAGTGTAACCCACGTCACAAATGCACCCACTTCCGGTTTTACTTTGCCAAACTTCCTTTAAAAATATGCATCAGCGCCAGCTTCACCCCTGCTCCTCCGGCCGGTCTCACTGCATGTCTTGAGTGATAGATCACTGATACATATTGATCAAACCACATCACCAGCACAGACCCACCGGATCCACTCATCGAATATCAGTATCACAACCCGCTCAACGGTGAGTCCAGACAACCCCTTGAACAACTTTTAAACAATGTTTCTGTGGAGCCACGAACTCTCATTGAACTATGCTAACGCTAATGCTAACGCTAGTACACACACACAACTGCGGTCAGCCCGACCCACAAGCGGCTCGATAAGTTGATCTTCCGCTTAATTTACTTTATGTCTTCAGCCGAACCTTTTGCCAAGGCTTTATTATAACAATTATGTGCTCTGTTTTCTTTATTCGGCTGTTTAGACCCACTTTTAAGTACTTTTGCACTATTCGCCAAGCGGGAGTAGCCTTTCGAATTAGTTATTGAAACCCTTACCTGTTGCGCAACAACCCTTTCCCTTGATATTTGACGATGTTTGAACTTTATATGAAAGTTTGACTGTTTTGAGTTTGTATTTAAAGTGCACTTTTATTTGATCTACCTCGACACTTTTGATAGACATAAACTCTATTGTTTATATTGTTGAATTAAATTGTTTATCATTAAGTCCCAATGGTATATGTTTTGAATGCTACATATTACAATGTATACTTTGAATGTTTTTATTAGCAGCATTAACTCCGTCCTGCGCTAATGATAATGATAATGATAATTTAATTTGTATGAAATCCTAATTTGTATTTTTTCCTGGCTTCCAGGTCAGGTTTTTTTTTTTATACATACATATACTGACTCTGATCCCCCACTGGATGGCGAGCTAACCCCCGAACTACTGGACACCTGAACCTATAACCACCCTACCCCCGCATCATCGTGGTAGGAAAAATCTTTTCCATTTCATCAATACCCTGTGGATTACAATACTTACCTCACCTGGATTACAGATGCAAACAATACCTTGTTGAACTTGTCTACCTCTTTTGAACTCTTGAACTATTTGTTTTACCTTTTGAAGGACACTTTTTGTTGATGTTTTTTTGTTATTGTCTAGTATAATTGTTTATTCATAAATACATATATATATTATATACCAACTTATTTATTTATCATTCTATATCTGAACTATTTTATAGTACTGAGATACCTGAATACAATAACTTACTTAAACTGAACTTACCTGTTGTGTTTATTCACGCACCTTGGCTCCTTGTCGTTCCTATGTCTGATACTTACCATACTTGCCTCGCAGTCGTTCCGCCCTAGCCCTAGCCAGCGTTACATGTTTTAGTTGTTTTCGAGTGTATTGTTTCCCCGTGACGGCTCTGTGCGGCTCTCTGATAGCCGCATGTGCTTCCAGAGGAAAAAGTTCATTTTCGCCGAATGCATTGGGTCTCTGTGTCCACTGCCTCTCCCGCCGCACATGCACAGGCTGTGATAGGTCGAGAAGCCTTTGCCTACATCCCCCAGAAGGCCATGCGCTTCTGACTCGGCTTTATTACCTGTGTTTTCTCCCTGTTTATTCTAACGGAGTGAAATTGAACAATCAAACATTCTATCGACACCGTTTTCTATTGATATCGAACACGTGTCTATTGCGATATATATCGTTATTGTTTTATCATCCAGCCCTAATTCAGAAATAAACTTCCAGATTTTTTAAAATTGCTAAAGCTCAACAAACACCTTTAAACCTCTTGTTTGTATTGCAAAGCCACCATCCTTCAGAGCAAACCCTTATTGAAACATCTTCAAAAACAAAAGGCTGTCTTCCTTCTCTGTACTTGTGTTGCCACGGCAACCCCAACGGTGACGAGACAAAAGCTCAAATGTCAGCCTCCACCGCGAGTTGTCGATCACGGCAAACAATCCGGACATGAGACGCCTCAAAACGTGCTTCAGAAATAAGAACAGCTTTTATAGGAATCCACAGAAAATAAATATGTTAATTATGACAGTAGCTGCAGAGATAGTTTTTAATTTGATCTGGTCCTGGTTCAGACATGGTTTATGAGATTGGACTTAATTTTCTATATGTATAGAGCTCAGGATTGTGATGTAGCATGTTATGGCATTTTCAGATAAAGTTTGGTGACCTGATTTTGAAACAAAATCACATCCATGCGAGCAAAATACTGCATTACATAGAGGGTGCATGTCCCGGAGATGACAAATAGCGGCGCACTGAATAATATTAATGAGATTTTATGTGCGTAATCCTGGCTGCGAATTCATCGGCAAGTACGCCACATGACGCTTGTGGGACTGGCGCGCGTGAGGCCTCTCATTGCCGCATGCAGCTCAAAGCCTTTATCTTTCATACCTGATCCCCCATATGGTTCCTTTTCAAGATTTTTCACATTCTAAAACAGGGGTCACCAACCTTTTTGAAACCAAGATCTACTTCTTGGGTACTGATTAATGCGAAGGGCTACCAGTTTGTTACACACTTACATAAATTGCCAGAAATAGCCAATTTGCTCAATTTACCTTTAACTCTGTTATTATTAATAATTAATTATATTTATCTTTGTGGAAACACTGATCATCTTAATGATTTCTCACAATAAATATATATAGAAACAGAAATATCAATATGCAACACTTTATTTTTATATTTTCTCTAAGTGGACATTTTTCAAATTTAACCTTTTTAAATGATCACTTCTAAGACTGTCTTGTGAAATCACAATATCCCATTTTAACTAGCTAGCCATATAATAATATATATATTATAATTATATAATCTCAGGAATTACTTTGCACCATGTTTATACGAAAAATAACTCATGTAAAATACAAAAGTCAACTCTCCAATTTTTTAAATCATGTCACACGAAATGGCGATCTCACAAGAGTTTAGAAACCAAAATGATCTCATTTACGCTGCTACTTTCTCCTGTTCAGAACAAAAACAATAGCGAAGCAAACTGTTTGAGCTTATTACATGTGTTTCTACTGTAGGTTTATGTGATAGTTCTAAACTCAACTCTGTTTCAACTCATTTAACTGTGATGTTGTGAATAAAGACACAGGTCTTGTTGGAAACATAGTTATTATTAAATCTTATTCAGCACAAACAGAAAAACAATAAGTGGTAAATATGCAGGAGGAATGCAACAGACGAGATGAGCTACGAGTGCAGATTCAAACAAAGACAGGAACAGTGCAAAATAAACGACTGCACAGTTTATAAGTTATATATATGTTAGATGCAACAGAACTCTAGTCCACAGTCTCTGCGTATATCAGGCTCTGTCATGAGCCTAAACTGCTTTTCCTTCGGTTCCTTCAAAGTGCGAAGCAGTCTGCTCCGAAGTGCCTCGTTCATGCTCCTACAGCTGCTCCATGCTTCCCAGAAAGTAATAACACACGGACCAATCACAGCAGAGCTTGTCTGCGGCGGCGGGCGCATAGTAAATGGTCGAGGGTGCGTGGCAGGCTACGTAATAGAAAATTTCGAGTGGTGCGCAGCAGGCTACGTAAGGGTCTTGCGGTGATCCACGCGTTACGCAAGTGACGTCACGTCACCACCGTAAGATCCGCGCCGCGTGGCTATACACAAGGCTTGAGTGCTTCTATTTGAGCTATTTTTAGAACAGGCTAGCGGGCAACTCATCTGGTTCTGGCACGCGTTGGTGACCCCTGTTCTAAAACATGAAATGGCACACTTAAAATAGATAATAAAAAATCTGAGGCACTCTTGACATTTAAATAGGAATCCTTTAATGTACAAGGATTCTACTAGTTTTTTCCATGTAGGGCCTTCTTCACGGCATGCGTTAAAGACATGGAACTACAATAATATCTGGATAGGATTATACTAGCTGATAGCTGTCTCACCAATGGGCACAGGGGGCGCCTGAGGTAGTGAAGACTAAATTCACTTGGGCTACCCAGAAAAATGTCACATAGTACCATGGATGTATTATATTAACTGGATAGGGTATTACTAGCTTGTAGCTGAATAACTCACGTGCTCAGGGGATTCTCGCGGTACTGCAGACTGAACCAGAGTAAATTCACGTGGGCTACCCAGAAATTTTCCCCATAGAACTCAATGCATATTAAAACAGCTCAACCTCAGCTGACAGAGAACCTACAGCTTTAATAAAGATCGGATTTTGTGGGGATTTTAGTGTCCCTTGTCATCCTGAACTTTTTTTCTTCTTAAATCCTTCGGTTTTGTTTAAATCCACACTTTAGTGCCACAAACTCTGCTCGTCTGGCTCTCGCTCTAACTCCCGCTCTGATAAACTGCTCTGATTGGTCAGAGCGCGGCCGAGCCCCTCTGTGCACGTGCGTGAGACCCGGTGTGAGACCCACACACGCGTGTTTGGCGCAACGCATTATGGGAGATCATCCACTGCGCAGAACCGGGAGGACCAGACGATGCCCAAATACAGGCGAGTTTCCCAAAGATCTTTGCGAGTTTCAGGCAACTTCCGCTAATCTTTCAGCCCCCATGCCGTCACAAAGCGCCACTGAGCACAACCATTCATTTGAATCGGGCGCCATCTTGGATCGCCGGGGCTTGCATAGTACACTCAATGTAAACTAAAACAGCTCGACT